AAGCCCATTGTAATTTCAGGCTGATATTTCCTCACAGCAGCAGCCGCACACCTTTAGTTAAACCGCCAAAAAGGCCACATTATTAACCCGAAAGTACACAAAAAGTACACTTCAGATACTCAAGGTCTTTGAGATGCTTCACGCTTTGAAATTTCACCGATATCTGTTACGGTTCTTCCACAAAACGTTCACATGTAAGAGGTTTATCTCTCATTCAGAACAATGGAAACCTGTGATCTCTGCACACCTCATTAGTTCAAATATAAACACCTGTGTCATGGAACACGATGATGTCATAACTCCAACTGACATGCTCAGAGCAGCAGACTTCAGATAATGGTTAATGGTCCTGCCCTCAACAGCTCTACGTCAATTATGGGGTGTCATCATAGGCCGTTTCCATGGAAACGCATCCCTCGCCATAAAAGACGATGTCGCTATACATTAACTCCTATGAACATTTTCAAAAAGTGCTCAAACTTCACATGTGTGCTAACAGTCCAGCCGTGAAGACATCTACGAGACAGTTTTGAGATTTCTTCAAATGCCGTTGCCATGGCAACACAATGCTCGCCATAAAACACGGTTTTCTCATAACTTCAGTGGAAATGCTCCAAACAGCCCAAAACTTCAAAGGTTTGGTAACGATGCAGCCATCTACGCATCTAAGCTTATTATGGGGTGTCATCAAATGCCGTTGCCATGGCGACAGATCATTCACCATCAAGTTAGTTCAAAAATGTGCAGTTCAAATATTCTGCTGCTTTTCCAAGCCTTTTTACTTTCTTTTCTTCTCTCATCACACATTCAAGCCCCCAGTGTTCATGTATCATTTCAATCTAAATTCTTCACTTTCTTCTTACACATGTAAGGTTAATTGAACACAAGGTTGGTACAGATTCATTCTAAATATATTTTATTAATCTGTTATCTGAATGAACTGTCAGTATAAAGGAATAACGGCAAACTTTTTCAGTCCGATGTCTGTGATGTTTAAATATTACCATTACCATATTACCATTACCAATATCACTTTTTATATAAGTGAACATTATATTTTCATGTATTTTATATTTAATAATTCATAAAATAATATTCATATTTCTTAGATTTGTTTTTATATTTCTTCAGCTAGTAGCAACTCTTTGTATTGAGAAGCTTCAAGAATACGCCTCCTGGTGGTACGATAAGATCCTTTGTGAATATGTCTGCAAACACAGAGACACGTACCTTCCTCTTCACAAACTTATCCCAGTAGTTGTTGGGGAAAGATCTGAAAACCACAGGAGAGAAGGCTCATGAGACACATAAAGCAGTATTAACATACAAAAGTAACAGTAAAGAACTGCAACAGAAAAAAAAGATAAAACACAACTCTTCTTCTTCCTGCTAGTTCTTTATACATCTTCCATATTGCAATGTGTTGCGAATGCTTGTTGTAAACAATGACTCACTGTGTGTTGATCACCAGTCGGTCCCACTGGCCTTTGATGTCGTCCTCAGAGGGTTGCTCTGTGATATAAAGCCCATCAAATTCCAGCTTCCTGGCCACTTCCTTTTCACGCTTAAAGATCACCAATGGCACCTACACACAAATACACAATATATAAACATATAAATAATAAAACATTTCATCTTAGAAAGTTGGAATCATTGGATGTGAATGTTTGAAAATATCGCTGAAAGGATAAATATGTGCCCTAACATTGAATGATATGCTTTTTGTCTATTATTTGGTCATGGGTTTGTGTCAATGTGCTTTGATATGTGATAATATTACCTTCAACTGTGCTTATGAGTTTTAGTTGTGATTGTGATCCTGCCTTTGCCTATTCTCATGTGTTTTCTTCTGTGCTTATGTGTTCTTGTATGTTTCCTTTAACCTGCTGTGGGTTGCAGATGAAAATGTGCCTCTACGGCTGGATCTGGATACATATGGCATATATACATGATTGCATGATGCTATATATCAACACATACTGGATAAACGGTTCATTTTTGTATTTCTGCTGTAACAATAGTTGGTATCCTGCCTTGAGACAGTAGTATCCGATGATGCAGAAGAAGGAGATGACAGTGTGGAGGACAGCCAGGATGCGTAACATGGGCTCCATGTACCCGGTGCTCTCCTCTAAGACAAAGCGCACTGTGACGGGTTTCAGGGGCTCCCCCCCCTCATCCATCACCTCCTGCTTCGTCTCCATTGCTTCTCCTCCCAGTGGATCCCACTGAATTCTGCTGTCAGATTGGCTGCTAGTGTACACCACTTCCCTTTCCTCAACCACAGAGGAGGATGTAGAAACCTGCTAGGGACAATGTATTAGTTTAATTGACTGAGACTGTAAAATGAAATATTGGTGTGTGTCAGCACAAAATCATGGGCAGCATATAAAACACATGCAATGCTAACCTTTAGGCTTACAATACAATACACTGCCTTTTTCAATCTGAATACGTTCAAGGTTTTTATAGATTGTCAGAGAGGGGTTCATGTCCCCAAAACTAGGATGTCAACATCAGACAGAATACCTGACAGCATTCTATAGGAGAGCAAATCATAGTTATGTTTCATGTTTTACTTATATCTTTTATAAGCACACAGCTCCTGGACCTGACAGTGTCTCAATGAGTGTTGGTCTGAATGATTCATTATTTGAGGAAATAAGTTTTGTGACTAATTACAAAATCCCTGCTATAGAGGACGATTACCTTATAGAAAAGGAGGATGAAATTGATTGCAAAGGCAACAAACAGCGCCAGCATCCTCATGTTGTAGAAGTTCCTGGCAAAGTAGTTCTACAGGCGAGACACAAAGAAGAGTACAATGTAGAAGATGTCCCAGACTGAGCACTAGATGTAGGGGCTCTAACCCAGTCCCCGTTCTGAGTCAAATGTCATTCTCAGGTTAAAACAAGTTGATTTGAGGCTTCAGCAGCTGCAGAGATTGACTGGGTATTTTCGTACTAAGCTACAGTTCAGAATGCACTTTTACACAGAATGTGAAATCTGTTCAAAACCAAAACACATTTCATTTTCATATTGGCCTATATGTATTGTTTTAAGATTGACTTACACATGCTAACACATTCTTTCAAATGAGAACTCTCCTCCTCACTGAATTATTAACAGCAGTTGCTAAAAGAAAAAGACAGAAGTGTTCCATGTACCAGAAGTTTCCTCTGGTAGGCGATGATCTTCTTTAGGAAAGCTGACTCCTGCAGGTCCGGTTCATCAGACTTCGAGGTGTGATGCCTTCTCACTTTTGGCTTCATCTTCTCATTCTTCTGTTGTTTCTCTTGCTTCTCTACATGTCCACCCCTGAAATCACAAAATGAATCACACTCATACACTGCTAAAACAAACTGTGGGCATCATCCAGAGGCTTGGCCAAGTAATAACTTATTTTTTTTTAAATAATGAAAAACAAAGCTAATGTCCCATTGAGCGACAAGTTTTCTTCTAAACAGATATACATGTATTTTGCCAGAATACTCAAGAAAGTGTAGATTCTTTCCCAATTATAAAGTATTTAAGGGGTGGTGCAATGTTGTTACTCTGTAAGCGTGCTTTAGTCACTCATTTTATAACTTTAGCCTGTACTTTAACTTTAGCACTGTCCGTATAGTACATAGTGTGTTTCTGTCTGCCAACAGAGTTACAATGTCTGTTGTAGCAATCAGATAAAAGAACAAACATTTGAACATACTCTGGTGTTTCCTCAGGTTCACATTCTGTCTCTGCTGTTGTGTCCTTCTCCTCTGAGGAAGAGCTCTTCGACTGAAAGAGAACATATACATACACAACAAGGAAGTATTCTGTAGGCATGCTAGCTGCAAGGCTTCAACACACATGTTATCAATCAGCTTCTTCTTATGGCTGATAGGATCCTTTCATGATAATCAGCATTGTTTTGAGTAATATTGAGTGAATGATTGTTAATCATGTTTATTTATTGGTGTACCTCACAAAATATTTGTATTTATCATTCACATTCAAATAAACAGAGCACTGCTCTCATCTCCATGTTGGACTACTATCGTGCTAATCTAAAAATAAGCTGTACCATATCAAAGAAAATGGGCATGGCCTCAATACGCAATATGTATTGAAATATTACTTTAACCTGCAATATGAAAGAATGAGAGGAGTAATTACAGAAAACTCAACCCAAACGTTACATTTTGAGATACAAATTCAGAGGATAGATAATCTTGCGCTCCTGTAAATTTGATCGTAAACACATTTGGTGTAAGCCTATGTGAAGGATCATACCCCAGCATTAACAAACCCACAAAGCTTAGTTAATGAGACGCCTCTGTGTTATAATGGGGTGGGGTGTTTTACTGACAGCTCCCCAAAAGTGAATTCAAAACAAATCTAACGCTGGCTGATGTCTGGCTGTTCGTTTAGGGAGCGCTGATTTGATATGAGCAGTGTTTTCTATGAGCACAGGACACATGTTAGGTGCACTTTTTGTTAACAAACACATTCAGCATTCGAACTACTGTATGTCCCGGGGGCTCAGCGCCTGATTAAACCTTATCACACTCACCTGATTCCTCCGTCTGAGCTCTGGGGGTTTGGTGGTTGGAGTTGGGGGTGCCGGGGGAGGAACCGGGGTGTTGAGCAGCTCCGTCAGGCTGGCGTTGGGGTTATGAGGGGTGATCTTGTACTGGCCGCCCTCTCTTCTCAGGTCCAGGCCGAAGATGTCTGAAAGCAGCTCCGTCTCACTGGTGTTCACTGCCAGGTCAGCCAGGTCCTCTTTAGGGGGGGCCCTCTTCTCTCTGTCCTCCCCCTCACCCCTCACCTCGTCCTGGGTGGGGTCAGGCATGTCGGCCAGCAGCTCTGACACCTGGGTGGAGGCAGATTATAATGTGATTAGGAGCAGAACTTACTGTTTTAATGTGTTTAAACTGTTTATTGTTTTTATAAAAACAAGTTTATTAACCTTTATGGTTTTGGCCCCCTCCACCAGATTGCCTCCCATGAAGGTGTTGTAAAAGATTCGGCAAAATCCTCGGGCCACACTGAACGCTATGTGGAGGAAGCCCAGCATCACGGACAGGTAGAAAGAGACCAGCGTGGTCACCATGTCCTTCACTGTCATGCTCTTTATCTTCTTTATCTGCTTCTTCAAACTCTTCATAGAGAGGACCTGGAAAAAGAGAGCACAACGATCTGTTTATGCACTGCTTGCTGTTGGTTAATAGTCTCTTTTTAGGGCCTAACATATACACTCTGTCATGTGTCATTGTCAAACAGCATCAACAATACTGCCGCTACTCCTCTCTCTGCACTAACCAACCCTGAACATTAAAGCTTCATGACACAATCACATTACAGCATGTTAGTAGAAAAAATGTGTAGCATTTAGAAGTATGTTTTTTGCTATCTTAACTGTATTTCTAAAAAGCAGTACGTCCCTCTGCATTTAAATATCTTGAAAATGTTCGAATTCTGAACATTTTAAACAAATACTACCAGGCTTTGCAATATGCTCTAATTACAAGAGATGAGGAGATGAATATCAGATGAATGTGTTCAAAACAGGGCTGGAGTCAGGATGTGGTTAGCCTAGTGAACTTAGCAAACATCCTGGAAGCAGCCTGGCTCTGTCCACAGTTGAAATTCACCAACCAACACTTCTAAAGCTCTCCAATAAACCTCTGTATTTAGTTTGCTTAACTTTTAGAAAAAACAACAAAGTGAGAATGACTAGTTGTCATGTGTTATGTATCCACTTACAAGCCTACAGAGTTTTTTTGTTATTTATATTTTTGGGGATTTTTTATATATTTTGTATCTTTCGTTGATATAGGGCTGTGGTCTGGTGGAACAGAAACTCTTTTCTGCAGTTTCTCTGAACAATGTAATCACTTCTTCGACTCTACAGAAAAATGAACCAGGTTTTCAGGAGTATTCACAAATTCCTATTAAAACATACAGACTCAGACACACTTTGATTCTCACCTTTATCAGCAGCATGACATTGTAGCGCAGAGCTAACAGAGCCATGCGCACAGTGCTGACGGAGAAGAAGCCCATCTCAGAGTTCTCCTCGTCCGGCTTCTCCCGCTCACTCTCCTCTTTCACCGCTGAGCGCTCGCCAGCGTCAGACATCTGAGCCGCCAGCTGCATTTCAAAGATGGTGTCCTCGCAGAAATTTACAAACAGCTCCATCTTCTCCTTCTCCCCTCCTTCGTTGACCACATCAAAGATGAACTGCCGCTTAGATTCTTTTACCTGAGCAGATGGTATATTAGTCAAAGAAGTTGCGAGTAAACTGAGGGTCACTATGCAACACTGCAACCAAATCAAGTAGTATGACATTTAAGTGACACATTTTATATGTATTTAATGAATCTACTGCCTCGTCTTTACCTGAGGTTTCTCCCACTGTGTGCGACTGGACTCGCTGATCTCGAAGTAGACCCTCTCAATGCGCTTGGCGCTGCCCATGATCTCGATGCGGCCCAGGTAGGGCTGGAAGTAGTTCAGCACGCTGTCCGCCAGCTCCAGGAAGGTCTGCAGCCGCGTGTCATGAGGCATGTGCTCCGACAGGTTGGTCAGCAGCACCGCCACATTGAAGCCGATGTCCTTTTGAATTACAGATCAAAATGTTTCTGTTTCTGAGCTTAGATCTTCCACACAACTGTTTTATGCGTAAAAGCTTCGTTTCAGCAATCCTGTAATGAACTAAGCCCTTAAGGACGGCACTAGAGTTACATCTAAGACTCAAAGATGACTCATTTGTTAATTTTCCTCTATTTCATATGATAATCAGTAAGACTCAACAAAATACTTATTTTAATTCAGTTTATCAGCGTATTGGTTTAACATTTCGAAATTGTTTCAGAAGAAAAGGAAAAGGTAGAAATAGAAATAGCAAAAGAGCTCTCCTTCTAAACCCCCTTTGAGATGTTAAAACCGTTCTCTAAGAATAGATTTTAATAACAGATTTGAAGGATCGAGGGCTTACATTTGGACAAAATAAAGCTATTTTAAGACTTTTTAAAGTTCTGTAAACATCAAGGCTGTTACCTTGGCTGGCTCATGAAAGCGCTCCACAAATTCTTCATAGTCCAGCAGTTCATTCTCATCGGTCTCAGCACAGGAGAGGAGGAACTCTGTCTCTGACTGGGTGTAGTGTTTGTGGCTCTCCATGGCCTTATGGAAGTCCCTCTTGGAGATGACACCTGTAAGTTCATTCATAAATCTAAAAATCATCGACAGCTCTCTATTTCACTCATCATTTACACGATTCTGATACTTCCTAAATGGGTTTTTAAGTCTTGCCTTTTCCGTCAGGGTCGTACTCCTTGAAGGCGTCTGAGGAGGTCAGGTCTTTCAGCTTGAGGAACATGTCAAAAAACTTGAGGATCATCTCCACATTGTTGGAGGACTCCACCAACATGTCCACCATCTGCTTCCCAATGGTCCCATTCACCACGTTACCTGCCAAACACAACAACGCCTTTACAGTACAGGAAGTCTCTTGAAACCACAACATGACACATTTTAACCCTCAACAGGAGAAAGAGCCTTTTTCAGAGTGTCTGCAATGCACGGAAATGGTCTCTGAGCTTACTGGGGAGACCTGTTTCCTTGTGAAATTGCTCCTTTTGCTACTGACAAGGTGAAAGGTGAACAGTGGTCTGCCTCACTAATTTAGCAAAACCAGTTTCTTCTTGTAAACAGACACATCCATCTATAAAAATGTCCAGTTCTGGGCTACATTTGAACGACTTTACGGGATGATTTTAAGCATAACAACAGCTTAATTTGTAATATTGTGGAATTCATCCACAAAATGTAATGTCTTACCAAATAACATGTTTGCAGGCACTTAAATATGTCAATTGATTTCATCATCAGTGTATCCAGAACACAAAATCCACTCACTACAAGTGCTTTTTTGACAGATGAACCAACAGTGTAGCCAAACTAGGCAAACAATGGCTTATTGCACAAATTCCAGTAAACAATGCAAACATCCTCCTGATAACCTCGTGAGTTTGTGCTTCTGTCAGATAGCCAATCCAGCTTCAAAATGTATTACAGGAGTACTGAGGATTGTAAACCTACCCTCCAGCATGGACAGCAGCATGACCACCATATCTTTCTGAAGATCCATCAGTTCTTTCAGTAACTCAATCTGACTTGAGTCCTGAAAGGGAAAAAATGAAAGGGAAAATAAATAGAGAAGGTCGGTTAATAAGAAATTCCAGGAAAAAGTACTATTGCATATCAGCTTATAAAAGTCTGACATTTCTGAATCTTTATAACAAAGAGAATAATATAATATATGTTTTTTTTCTCAACTAAGGTGAGAGAAAACGCACTGAAAATGGCTACATTTCTTCTGTAATAGTTTACAGCAGAAATGTGACAGAAAATGAAACAGAGAGAGGATGTGAGAAATATCACCTGAGACAATTTCATCTGCATATGAGCGAAGACGTGCAGAAACCCGACCACAGCGTCCCACAGGCGACTATGAGCCAAACTCTGCTGGTTGCCCGTACACGGACCCTACAACATTATAGGTGACAATCAGTATCACATCTCAACAACATTGACCTTCACTAAGCAGGTTACCTATACTAAGAAATGTGAGTGTTTGCCAATAACAATCTTCTGCAAACATAGTCTTTGCTTAAAGAATCTGACATCATTATAAATTAATCAATAGCTCATTTCAGTAATAATTACTACTCACTAAATATGACTGTTAAACACCTTTCATTATTTTATATTTAATTACATATCAGGTCTTTTTGACCCCTCAAAGCGCTTTAAATACTACGAGTCACTCACCCTCATTCATGCAGAGCAGCACCACTTGCTCTAGGGAAGCTAACACACACACACACATTCACACACCGTTGGCCATCGGGATCAACTATACATTGATGGAAGTACAGGGGTCATTCCATGAATCTGTGATAATCACAGTTTTTTCTCGTACCTGGATGTACTCAGTGAGCGTGTTGAAAACCTGCTTAGCCACATTTATTGCCTTGGAGAAGTTTCTCTGGCCCTGCTCATCAATAACATCCTTCCCAGAATAATACCAGTAGAAATCACTGATGGATTCCTGGAGGAGAGTCAGGCGGGAGAAGGGAAGGAGAAGACAAAAAGAACACTATGAAACAGAGCAACTACAGGGAAATAGATGAGGGTAGAGTTTGAATAGTTTTAACAACTGTTAAGCATAATGTATGACAGAGAAATCTCTAGGAATCAGTTTTAAAAATCTGAGTGAAACGTAAATCAAAGAGAAAAACTAAATTAAAAACAAAGCAGTTTTTTATCAAACCTGCATTTTGTTTTCATCAAGGACATTAGCTTTAGCCCGAGAGATTTTCTATGCAGGAGTATATGTTATATGCTCAACTGGGTGAGATGATTTCTTCTATATACAATTTTTCAGTTTTTTACAATGATATCATTCTATAATAAAACAACTGCAAGTGTGCAAAAGAGTATCCCAGTGTAACATGAATGTGTTAGAGTGTGGCTGTGCAAGGCAATACAGCAATAGAGCAGTCGACTACTGTTGTGTAACTTCAAAGCCGTTTAGATATGGGAGACAGGTAATAATTGTTGTGACCAATTTCTCAGATATTGTCACCAGGTCAGGTAATTATTCTAATGTTTTGTTAATAAGATTTAACTATACTTTTCCTGCATATTGCATCTCTGTGTGTGTGAGATTAAAATAGCCCAATTGACCTTTCGCAAAGCCACGCCCCTAAATGCCCGTTGTCCAATCATATTCGATCACGTGCGCGGCTCCCTGTGGAAGTCCGACAAGCTTAGCGTTCAAATTCATTACGAAAATGGTGAAGCGTTGTGCTTATGGTCTTTGCAAATCGGATAGCAGATATCCCATAAGCTTAGAGGGGGGGGTGATATTTTACCCGTTTCCTAAACCCAAAACCCGAGAGGAGAGATGCCGCCAGTGGATAAAGAAATGCGGCAGGCCCCATGCCCAGCTGAATATGGCGAATATCAACAAACACAAATATGTTTGCTCCAAGGTAAATACGTGCTAACGTAGCTAGCTAGCTAGCAAAGATTACATTCACAAATTAACTAATTTAATTAACTAATTTCACTAACTAACGTTAGCTAAAGTCACACGATTACAGCTGTAAGCTGTGTGCTTCTAGGTCGTTTTGACCATGTATATCACTTGATGCATAATAATGTCTGAACAGCTGAGCTCCGTTATTAGTCTACCTGTGGTCAAAGTACAAACAAGAAAGCCAACAGGCAATCATTCATTTATATTTTGCTTTAATCTTTGTAGCATTTTGTTAA